ATTATGTTAATTCGTAGTTGTGTAGTATTTATTTGAAGGCCATATGTTGAAAGAATACTTCATATTCTATCCCTTTCAGTGCTACTACCTTTTGAATCCCGAAAAGCAGAGAGACAGCAGAAAGTATGTTTATGATATGAAACTAACGAGTAGCTCGTAATAAAAGAGGGTCTCAGTATTTTGTTAACATCTTAAGTGTTATCTTATCGCTCATGCTTTATTTTTTTTATGAAAAGATTCACCGTTTGCTTCTGCACAAATTGCATATTTCGTTGTAAAAATATTCATTTCTTTCTCTTTGGACATCACCACGATTTAAAAATAACACTACGCACAACTTTCAAAATCTCTTTTTTTTTTCGAAAACATCCAGTTCTTAGATTAGTCTTATTATCATTGGTCGTGCCCCATATTCTTTATCCAGAGATAAAATAAAGTGCCTTTGATACGTTGATTGAAATGAATCAATTTATCGCTTGAGTATCGAACAAATTGTATCCAAAGTAACAGGATTAACTGAGAAACTGGATATTTTGGAAAAAAATGAAGACTTTGAAAGTTGTGTGTAATGCTTGTTTTAAATCATGATGATGTTAAAAGAGAGATAAGTGTTTTTTACAGTGAAATATACCAATTTCTGCAGAATCAGACGGTGAATCGTTTGACATAAAAAATAATGTGTGAGCGATAAGATAACGCTTAAGATGTTAACAAAATACTGAGACCCTCTTTTATTACGAGCTACCCGTTAGTTTTAAATTTTAGTGTCAGTATACTAATCACTCACATTGTATGGCATCACAAAATACAACTGATTAACAATTAGACAGAATCATTGAACATGTTTTCTTTTTAAGGAGTATTCTTCATATGATTTAAGAGCTTTTGACAAATCTTTTTTACCTAATAAGTATTCATCCATTACAGTATATGATAAGGAGAAATTCAAAATAATTGTTGATTAAATCATAGAATTTAAAATTTTTATGTTTCTTATTGTTCATAGGATTATCAATATTAGCTCTTTATTAGCAATGTTCGGAAAATTGTTGATGACGAATGATAAATGTTAGTTGAGACGGATCAAATTTATATTCTTTTCAAGATCATTAATATTCGACGACTTTGAACCATTCTGTATTGGAGATAACTCTATTCAATTTCTGCTTTCTGGTTTAACGTCTGATGACATAATTATTACTCCAGCAACTACCACTGTTTTGTCAATGCCTTCTTCGCTAGTCGAGCTGTCATTATCATCTAGAGCTATTTTTTCTGTTCCTTTTCTCTCACTAATCATCTATTAATTATTCATGTTCATTGAGTAAACAAACAAAATAATGTATATGTTGATGTATATGAATTATATGAGTAATTAAAACACGATAGAAAATCATAGGTAAAGAATTGATTTAAACCCAAATAAAAAGGTTGGTAGTTGTTTGTAGTCAGTAGAAAATAAAAATCATATGTATCAAATAGAAAGAGTTAGAATGGCACAAAAATATTAATAGTTTTTGATACAGTTTTTTTAATAATTATAGAAACGAAGGTAGTTCAGGTGAAAAATGTTGATTGAAATAATAAATAACGCCGTATCAAAAAAAGCAGAAAAATCTTGAAAAAGTAGAAAAGACAGAAAAAAAACTTCGAAAAGTAGAAGAGGTGACAGCTCTGATTCCTTCTAGGCTCATCTCCGACCGGATCCAAAGTTTTACTTTTTTGTCTGGTTCGGGCCTGGTTACACGTTTTTGTGGATCCGCTGCTCCCCAGATGAGAATACAACAAGAAGATATAACTGTACATTGATGATTTTTTCTGAGAGTAATGAATAAATAGCTAAAACCTTGATTCTTTATTTGTTCATGTACACGAAGGGTGTTAGATATTGATGGAAAAAACCTTGGATTTGGACCTGATCAGATCCAAGTCCACGAAAACGTAGATCCGTAGCTCTCTCATTCCTACTCACACACAAATAGAGCATTGTTGTTTGAAATTATTTGATGACATCCTGTCTGTACTTACCCTGGCAGTTTTTTTTTTGTGCAATCATTTTATTTTATGATAATATTTAAGAAATAATCGATACCGATCACAACAAAAAAAATTTAAGCTCCACTCAATATACACATATTTCATCAAGACTTAATTCTCTTTGATAAAGACGAAATTCATTAATAACACCCGAATAAGCTAACACCACAATAGGTAATGCATTAGATGTACATCCTGTTGGAGGACTATCTGTACCCGGATTGGATGTGGGTTGCGAATGGATGAGGGTACGGGTTTTGGTATAGTCTTCCAACATCCACACCCAGACTGCACATCGATATCCCACATTCACACGAGCATCCAGACCGACACGCACACCGATACCCATAGCCATCCACACTCACATTCCTCATCCTGCACCCACAGTCACACCTCACATCCACACTCGCACTCATCTGTAGATTCTCATTGCTGAAAGATAATGTCGACATCATGGTAATTTTATACACGCACACACCTTACGTCATAGACTCTATAGTCTAGGGAATACCAACTACTCATGATGTCCCAACATGCATCATGCGCAATCATTTCAAGTGCAATTTGGCCTATGATGTACATTATTTCATACCATTCATTATTAGATTTGTGGGTATAAACCAGTCACTATGATGAGAAAAAGTAATTTTTTCTTTTTCATGGATATTTTTTCTTCGATATACATTCTCAATGAAAATAAAATGGTGTAATGAGTTGTTTTTTTTGTTTTGCGCAGCACACTACTGACCTTGAAGGTTTGTTTACACGCCCCGTTTGAAGTAATGAATTGCGCATGTCGTTCGTTTACGTTTCTCTTTTATGAATAGAAAAATACTTGTGAAGGATGAAAAAATAACCACTAGCAGAGAGCAATATTGTGTAAAGGGTGCAAAACACAGCATCAACTTGTCACATTTTGTCTGTTCTATTTTTGTAGCAGTCAAGTGAGCTGAGCAAAGTAAGACTTTCATTGTATGAATCTTATGCTTTTTTTGATCTTATCTGATTTTGGGGTATTGCTTGTCTTTCTCTTTGTTTCATCTGGAATTCTATCCAAGTTGTTCTAGGACGGGCTTTACGACGATCCGATACGGTCGTAAACTGCTGTATACGATACTCTATGCCATCTTTCACGCCGTTTACGGCCGTAAATTGTCGTAAGTTGACATTTTATCATGCATCGCATTATGACCGTATTTCGACGTACCGTAAACGTCTAATCACGGTCCTCATACGGTCGAAAAATTTAGTATCCGACCGTTTCTCAACGTGTCATAATACGGTGCATGGTTAACGGTGAAAAAATCAACGAAAACGGTCATTTTACGATCCGACTTATTTCACCTGCGTCGCTTGATTGATTTTGACAATAGCATGGGAGAAAAGTTGCCTAGCATCTACCAGAGACTGTCATGAGGTCGCAACAATCAACGTCAAATTTACCCTGCAGGGCAAATTTGACGTTGATTGTTGCTATCTCATGACGGTCTCTGGCTTCTACTCATTTCTAGGTGTATCTCTGAGTACATGCATATGGTTAACAGATAACAAATGCATACAATGAGTTATACGGATTATCTTTCGCCTGTTTTTTTTTTCAAATACATTACAAAATCTCAGCATACTTAAGTCTTCTGTTGTCATTTTTCAATGAGAATTCCAATGTATGGTAATAGTTTGTTAACTTGTTCTGCCGTATGTGGATGTGGATGTAATAATAGCTGCATAACACACTCCCACACGCATACCCATACCCATCCTCTTCTTTTAAGATTAGAAAAATGTGGTGTGCGATAAAAGTCAAAAGTCTTCATTTCGACATCTAATTATAGAAGTAATTACTAGATAGAAATAAGAACTTAAATACTTCTCATACCTGTGCCTATCAGTTTTTTCTCTATCTGTATCATGCATATCTGCAGAAACTGTACCAAAAGTAGTTAATAAACAACATAAGAATAAACATGGTATGTCTTAAAATATTCCTCATCCACATCAAAAAAACTATTTAGGAAAACCTAATGAATATTTATTGTATATGAGAAATGTTCAAAAATGAGCATTAATTCGTCACTTAACTAGATTGGAATAAAACTTTGCCATATAGAAAAAAAACCTACTTTTGCATCTAAAAGCCTTAACTACATTTGATCAAAAATAATAGGTGATTTCTATTAGGTGTGTAGTTCGCGAAAAATGTTTTAAGCTTTTCGTTGACATTTTTCGGCGTTTTCTATTTTCCTAGTCCGTAAAGGCTAATTTGATTCTTCTTAGAAAAACTCATCATGATAAATACCGAAATCTTTATATTCGATAAATTACGAAAAGTAAAAAATTTATATGTAAAATAAATATGAATTATTAGTAATAATTAAATTAAAAGTAAATGTAAATTGACACCCCTATGACTGAAAAACAAATATAGATTCGAAATCAGTACAAAAAAAAACTGAATGTATTAAACCATGTGTAAAAAAGACGCAATAAATATTTTACTTGAACTTCGAATTATCAGCACATTATATTGTATCGCTATTAATAAGAAAAACATGACAGATCTTAACTTTCAGATATTTTTTGCTGAAATTCATTTCTATGAGAAACAATTTCATTGCAAAAAAAAATGAGGGTTTATTCACGTGAAATGACCTTCAAACTCATTTGAATTTTTCTTTGCCTAAAGTTCACAATGATTCAACTTATTCTCTTCAATGCATCGTTGGCTATATACAATAAAATCTTGTTGAGTCAATAGAATAGTTATACGATTTTTGCTACAGGAAAAAAGAACGACTCGATAAAGCATTGATTTATGTCGAGTTGTACCAGTGAATTCATACAGTTATTTGTTAGTTGCAGTTTTGAAAATGACAAGAAAGAAGTATTATTTGATATAAACTGTAAAACAATAATTAATAGTGACTGGTCAATTAAATTCTCAAAGAAAGATATTATAAATAATCATGCCTGGTGCTACATTTGTTGGTTTTGATGATTATACCGATCATACTGGTAAGATAATAGCCAATACCAAAGAATTAATCAATATTTTTTGAACAAACGAGTACATTGATCACTACTGTTGCGCAATGAGTTGCATGAAAAATTCGATCATACTGATCACGATAAGAAAATTTTGTTTTGATCTACTTTATATATGGATGATCCTTAGGATATGAACTTTGATGTCATCGACAGACAAAGTATTAGTAATAAGAATGTTATTTTAAATAATTTTCAATTAATGATGATATATTCCTAGAAGTCATCGGCATCGGCGATGACATTGAGGAATCACTCGATTAAGGGTTATAGAATACCCAAGATATAATCTTTCGCAAATCTTATCTTTTCACTCTAATTTACATAATAGCTATGAGACGTTATGATCAAGACACGATTCGAAAATATACATGTACACTCAACATGATAACTCCATATATTTTAACGCTAAAACCAATCATGTATATCATTGGAATGAATTTGAAAATTCATTTGTTTTTCAAAAATAATCAGAAAGAAAGAAATTAACGTTTGTATACGACAATCTGAAGTTGTGTAAAAAAAAAAAAGAGAAATCGGTTTTTGAAATATTCCATTCATTCGACAGAAGAAAAACGAAAGTAAGAATTTTCTCTTAATCAATAACGTTCAACAGTCATAGATTTCATGAATTAAGTTGTTGAGTTTACTTAAAGAATGAAAATGTGTCAATGCTAAAAATTTTAGAGGAATCTGTGTTACTAGCATGCGTGGTAAACATAACAAAATACAAATAAACCATGCAATTTCATGTGTGCCTTTTCATTTTCACAGGTGAGACACATTTATATGCAGGATGCAGCACTTCATTTTTTATCTATCTTTACAATCAACCACATTCTGATGTGCTTCATAAACACAAGAATGTTTTTTCTTTTTAATTAATATTCTTATTGTCCTGTCCTCTCTTATTTATATTTATGAATAAAAGTATGAGAATGTGAGTGCCCATATATGAAATAAGTAATGAATGATGCTACTCATTAAGGTGAAGGTAATGATGGTAAAAAAACTACTATCGTTGTTTTCGACGGTAGATGAATGTAATAGATAAACAAATTTGAATAATTTTCTTTCGTTTTATGTAAGTGTTGTCGTGTAAAACTATTGGAATGAGTTTTTGCGAGGTAGAATATAAAAACAAAGTTGTCGAAAGTTTATAAGTCGAAAAATTTTATTTCATTTTCAATAAAATATTTTCATAATAGAAAAAGAATATAAATGGTAAATTCTGTTATGCGGCATTTTTACTATACATTTCTGATTACACTTTAAATCTATGCAAATTTATGTAAAAAAATAATAAAAGAAGGATTTAAAATATATTGATATAATATTCTAATAAGTTTATTATTATGTATCCTAATCTTAATATATGTATTCATTTATTTCAGGTAAATCTAAGATGAGTAATATTGAGGATACTTGTATACCATTAATTAATTCCATTAACACTGATTCTTCATCGGCTACTAAACAGAGTGACTCGCTGGATGTAGTTATATTACCATCTACAATGACGACTACTATGAAATCAAATGTTTCCAACGACAAAAAAATTCATACTAAAGATCTTATCAAACAAAAGATTCCCAATAAAATATTATTATCTAACATCAGTCGTCGACTAGCCATACGAAAAAACTTACATAAACAACTGTATGAAATATAACTGTTTATTGTCTTATTATTATATTCTTGTATATTCTAGTTCTTTCGTAACTGATATTATGTGTTTTCTTGGTATTTTGGGAATTATTCTTATGATTATTGAAAATGAAATAACATTTTCTCAAGTCAATGATAATGATACAATATTGACGTGGTCTATAA